AGAGAAAAAAAATATTGGGCTGGCCTCAATATACCAAGAGCAGGTTACAGTCCTTTTGGGCTATCTGGATTAGGAGTCTGAGTTCAAAGCAGGTGTATACTAAAAGTACTAGAGATATGCTATAAAGTTAGTACTGAGGTCTGGATAAACTGTGTAAGAGTAGCCCATGTTAGTGTTCTAAAAGTAGGTGGATAGTTAACAATAGGGGGCCTCTGCACTTTACTGGCAGGTAACATATTCTGAAATGTGTAACAGCCAGAAACTAGTACAAAAAGTGTAGGTAACCATACTGCTCAGATGGTATACTGGTTAGGTATATATAGGGGTAAGTTGGGAATTCCAATATGACAAGACAGATGATCAGAAGGTTTAAATAGATAATATCCTAGTAGGTTATAGGTATGACATCTAATGTAGTACCTTAGGGTGGACTAATTAAATAGGCAACTAAAAGTTGCATACGTGACTAGCTGTACTTTCATTTCTGTAAAAATAGTAGTAATAGCTAACCCAATATAAAGTCAATAAAGTATTGCTACAAGTATAGCCTTTAACAAAAAAAAAATCTCTATCAATAGCACTCATCTAAATCAATTAACAATCTACAAATAAATTAATTAATTGAATAACATTTATAATTTCATTATAACTCCTAACAACTCAACAACTCTAAGTCTTAAAAATAATAGAATTCTTTTTTTGAAACAATTACTTATAACTAATAATTACAATCTATTTTCTTAAAAAAATATATATCTTAGAACTCTCAAATCTTTATAAAGTACTATTTTAAATTAGTTTAAAACATTCTTAAACCAAATATCTATCATTTTATTTTGTGCATATAACCCAATCTTCAACTTCAACTTATTAATCCATTTTTAAATATATTAAATCTTATTACACTCCTCTATTACCTTGAAAAATATATAGTTACTCTATATTTCATCTTAAGATTAGCATATTAACAAAATAACTAATACATCTAATTCTTAAGTATTCTTTCAAAAATATTAAATTACAAACTTAACAACTAATATAATCCATATTTTTTCTATACCTACAATGTTTTAAATAAATTACAAACAAACTATTAATCTTAAATAAGAAATATAAAAAAGAAAACAAACCTTTGAATTCAATATAAATAACCAAAAAATTAAAGCATTTCAAAACATTTATATAGACTTATATAAGCTGGCTCTAAAATTTCTACTATTTTTTTTATTATCTTTAGAAATTCTTCTAATATAAAACACAATATTTGATCTTATATACCAAAATTAACTCATAAACTTTAATAAAAAATTATTATTTGTTAAATTAACTAATATATATTTTTATACAAATATCTTTATACTTAATTCACAAACACACAATACCTCTACTGGCATTGTCTAGATTCTAAAAAATAATACATAAATTAAATTTAATGCCTCTATAACCTTTACACCAAACTCAACATTAGCAGAACTAGTAGTACTTATTCTTTTGTTTCTTATCTTACCTTTCAACTATCTAATTTATATTTATTTAAACAGCTTATATACTATACAAATTCTTATTAATTCAATACCTTATAACCATAATTTTTAAACTAAACAAAATAACTAAGATATCATTATATTTTAAATTACCTAACTAAATTTAAAAATATTAATTACACTATGTATAAAGTCAAATCACATTCAAACAACACTTTATATAATATTGCTAATATCTTAGCTAAACAAGATACTAAAAATATAGAGCTAAAATATAATCTTAACTATCTTTATTTATCTATCTTTTTTATTTAGAAAGAAATATCAATTACATACAAACTTTATAAATTTTGTAAAAACCTTTTTTCTATTTAAACATTTAACAAATTTCTTCAACTTAAACTATTACAAAATCTTTTTACTATAAACATTTTACTATTTACTAAAATTATTAATTCCCAAAATTCTAATTTGAAACTTTAGCCTATTAAGAATAAAATTCTTCTTAATAACTTATCAACAATGTTAAATTTAAATATTTATTATTCTCTATTTTATTTAACTCCAAACTGCTTCTATTGTAAACAATATGAAAATACCAAACATTTACTCTAATGCTTACTTTACTCTTACAATCCACAAAACATTCTTATTAATGAAACCACTAATATTTTAAATTTTTTGAACTTTATTGAAGCTTCAGGAAACATAATAATTCAAATTCTCAATTTACAAAACCTTTTTCCAAATTCTACTATATCTAATACAATATTTCTACTTATTTAAGACACAATAACACTTGACTAATATAAATAACTTTAACTAATTCTAAAAAAACTAACTAATAATTTTCTTATTTCTTATCTAACTCTTTACTCAACTGATTTAATCTTACTATTTGACAAACTCAAAATATTAAATAATATAAATTAAAGAATCAATACAAGAAATTATCACTTTTACTAAAAAAAAAATAATGTTCAATTACCTATTATATAACTTTTTAATTCTAATAATAATATATTTGTATTTAATATAATATTGACTAATTTATTTTTAAAACTCTTTTCTAAAATTTTACTATATATATCTACTTTTACTAATTAAAACAATTCTAAGAATTTCTTTTACTTTTTTCTGTAGTTAATAATTATGATAATTGATTTAACTAAAACAGAAAATTAAAGGTTAATATTATACTAGATGTTGTTATATATATCTATATATAATAACAATAGTGTATTCAATAAAGTTAAAGGCATGGTCTCACCATTAATATTTAAAAAAAAATTAACAATAATGTAGTTTAAGAATATTTTATTTATACATTTATATTCAATTGATATATTTATGTATTACTATTTTTTTTACTTGATATTATATAATAAAAACATAAAATTTTGATCAAAAAAATATTTGAAATCTACTTTTTTTTAATACTTTTATTATATATAATAATTTTATAAAAAAAAATAAAGTATTTGTATTAAATATAGGTATATAAACTAAAAAAAAAATTCAAAAAAATTTTTTGAGAAGCAAAATTGATGATCATTGATCTTAAATTTGATTGGTTAATGGATCACCAAGTTTTTTTTGCCTTATTTATTTCTTTTTTTAATCTATAAAAATAAATTTATTTATATATTGTATATGCAAAATGTTTTACATTACACAAACGTTATTACGTTATGTATCATCATTACGTTATGCATATATGTATATACTACTGTAATAAGATCATAAACTTTATTATAAAAAAAATATTAGAATGAGTTAATACTTTAATCTAATTGGTCACATTATTTAACAAATTTGACCAGTCCAGTTTGACCAATAAATTTTTAATTGATTAGCAATTACGATTTGACCAAGCTTGGAATTTAGAACCTTCATTTTGTGCAACCAAGTTTTGTATATTTTTTCAAGAATATGTCAGAGTTGTCTAGAAGATTCGGTGAAAACAAAAACAGATCAATAGTATTTAATATATGCTAGTATGTAACCCGTCGCATTGCTCCGAATAACATATATATCTACCAATCGTGTTATGACTATTGTTAGGTAGATAATCGGTTTGCTTAATTCAACTTAAATTGAAGTTAGTAACCCATTTTAATAGCAATCGGGTTTATAGTAAATAAAAGTTTAATTTGTTGTGAAACATTAATAAACCGGATTTAAGATCAAATTCGGTATTATTTATTAATATGAAAATGTTTTTAATATTAAGATTAGTAGAAATATAATCCTAAAAATCATTATTACGTTCATTATAATAAACATCAACCTTTAATTTCGTGTAATATATTTTCGATGTCATAATTCGAAAGTTATAAGGTATACGATCAAGTGACTGCATTGATTGGAGCCGTTGTGTCGGAAGATCTCTAAATATTACTTTAATTTTTTATACATGCTATTCTAAACGTGACAATGCATGCATTGTGTAACACTGAGAGATTTTACTTAATAAGAGATGTGATCGAGCACAGAATTTAGATTTTATCAAGGAAAATTCATGAAGATCTGAAGTGAAATTATGCTACGTAATGATTTTTCATGTGTATTTTTAATAGATCGTTTCCAGCATATAGAAAAAAAAATTTTTCAATCTTAAATATCTACCGTCGCTCACCGATCCGAATATCAGTGTCAAAGTAGTCTTTTAACAATAATTTATGCATTATATAAGAAGACTAAAATCCTAGTTATGTCAATGTTTATTGCATATTTTGGCTGTGTTGAAATGTACTAAATTGGATTCAGATGCGATAAGTTTATTATGTAAATTATGATAGTAATTTCGAGTCTTAGTTCATTATAGTCATGGTATAAAGAGAGGCAACTGTGGAAAATAAAATGATTCTGCTATTTTGTTGTACGACCACAACGTGATTATACGTATCACTTAAGTTGGAAAATTTTTTTGGTGTCGTTTCGATTTGAATTTATCACGGTTTGATGAGATGACGCTATGTGGCACGCATTTAATTATAGTTTCAAATTTGTGATATGATTTTATTTCATCAAACCGGAGAAGACATTTATATTCAATTTTGTTTGTATCCCAAAATTTAAAGGGATCGATTGTGGTTAGATTTGATTTAAAAGATATATCACGTATCGAGATCAATATAAATGTACATGGTGATCTTATCGGTTAAAAGGTGGGGGTAATCGGTTGAACACAAATTCTAACATGTAATTTTTAAATTTAAGATACTTTTAAATGACATGCGCTTCAATTGACTGTCTATTATCTAACAAAGAATTATAATTATAATCAAATTTTATCAGTTTTAATGACCAAAAAAAAAGGTCTAATAAACAAAATTAGCCCATATGAAAATAGTAAATCCTAAAGTTTTAGGTCGCTAAACAATTTTATTTAGTATGTACTTTTAACAAGTCATTTTTTAAAATCCTAATAAGAAAAGAAAACTAAATAAAATTGAGTAAACAAAAGGAAAGATAATATGAAATCAAAAGATTATAAACTGTGCTATTATTTCTTTAAATCACAAAACAGTATACTTTCAAATAAATAATAATTGATTCTAGACTGGACAGATCACATTTGCTATCTGGATAAAGACTAATTGTCCATTGACTAAATGGTGTTGGAGCAAAAGAATAATCTTTATCCTCCAATTTATAATAGATATTATCGAAAACTATTTTGTATTTTTCGCTTATATCAGATTCTGCTGAATGATCTTTATTTACTTTGTATTCAAATCCTTCTTTTTTAGGATCTGATTTAAAATAATATTTATTATTCTTCTTATCTCTGTCAGCAAATGTATCAGAGTGACTAATATAAAGACCGATTGATTCATTTATGGATCCAACTCCTTTTAAGTATATCCTAAATGCATGAAGCCTTAGGCGAGCGTAGTTTTTTAATTCATCACAATCCAACGGAAAGTCAATTATTACCGAATGATTGTGTTTAAATTCATCAATGTATGTTTCTTTAAATTCAAAAGTAGCATCTTTTATCCGAGGTCTATCATTAAAGGCATCATCGAGATCTTCAAACATTTTATTGATAACTGATTCATTGAATTCATTAATAACTGAAGGCTCTAATTTGGATTCGGAGAGAGTCCAATATTTATAAGCGGAACGATACTTTTCCATGAATAATGTCATACAATATTTGATATCGATAAGGTGTTCGAACAGTAGAAGTTTAATCTCGTCATCTTGAGATTTATTTTCTAACTTAATCCTTTGCTCAAGTCGTTCTTCTATTTTTTTGCACGTCTCTACTTGCAATTCAATTCCTGAAAGTTCTTTAGACCTTTCGCTTTCTTCGATCTTTGCTTCAATGTGAGCATAAATTAAGTTAATAAAATCTATTAAAGACTTCAAATATTCGTCTGCACCTTTAATATTTTGCTCGAACGACTAACAAAATTGAATTTACAATCAGTAATAGTACATAAAAGGGATAAAAGGTAAAATGTGCATAAATACTTTTATGATTTCACGCAGTTCATCAATGTTATCCCTAGTTGATTTCAGCTCATTACGTAGCATGATTCCTTTGGGATCTTTAGTTTCAAGGCTGATAGGAAATAACAGTTTATTAATTTATGTTTAAAAGTCTAGCATATCTAAATGGTATAAATTACCTTTCTGAAATATTTTTATTATTAAATTCTTCAAATTTTTTACTCATTTCCACCGCGGATTTGTTTAGTTCACCAGCCATATCGTGATCATTTTTTAGCTTATTTGTAATTTCTTTGATTTTATTGGCTTTGTTATTTATATCATTAACTTGCACCAGTTCTTTTTTTACGTCATCATCATTAATTATCTTGACTAACGCTTTAATGTTTTCTATATTAATATGTTCAATGACATCTTGAACTGATTTAGATACTTTTTTTACAGTATCAACAAAATTGAGTACACCTCCGGGCTGAATAACAACTTTACCAACACTAAAAGATAAATCAAGAATAGCGAGGAATAACTCTTTTTGTGCAGCATGTTTTCGTTCTTTAAGCCAATCATCAATTCCTTCTTTAAACTCCTCGAGTGCATTTTCTGTATAATTTTTTGTTTCCTTTTTTTAAAAAAAATTAGTTTCCTTTTCGAAATTCTTTATATAAATAATGTAGAGCATACCTGAAGGATATTTTCGGTTTCTTTCGTTAAATTATGAGCTAATTCAAATCGCTTACTTTCCTTTTCTTTTAAAATTTCATGCATTTTGGTTATATCATTATGGTCCAGTAACTTATAATTTAACTTCTTTATCTTTTGTTTATTATTATACTCATGTTTTAGCATATTCTTATATTCGTTTTCATAATCTTTTGCAAATTTCAACAACTGACAAATATGATTTTTGTAATTTTCCATATTAAGTCGTGGAACAAAAGTAAATTCACTTTTCTCTCTTTCAATGAAGGCATTAAGATGGTCAAACATTCTTAATGCACGATAGTATAATTTTTTTGTCATTTCAAATTCTTTTTCCTCGTTATCTTTTAATTGTTCATTTATTTTAATAATCCATGTGAGAATTGAACGTGTAACATCGGGATTATCATAAAATAGTGCGACCGCAATTTGTAGAGAAAATCGTAATATTTTAGAGAACGG